TAAGTCAATCACAAAAGGACAAATATTGTATTAGTCCATTATTGTAAAAGTCAAGGAAAGGTTTATCTGTGGAAGGAAATTTTCTTTTTTGGTTACCAGGAGTGGGAGGGGAGGGGAGGGAACGTTATTAGATAGATAGAGATAAGTATGGATTTGGGTGAGGAGAAGAGCAATGTAGCAATGTGAGTGACCAATATGGCAGTACTGAGGATGAGAAAGACATAGGGAGGTACAAACAACAAAGATGAACCCTTTTGCACATATAGTACTTTATTAGTCAGTGAAGGCAAACATGGGTATACGCGTGGATAGATGGGTGGACAGGCTGAACTAGTAGGTATGTCTATGAAGATCATGTATAGGATTGACAGACAGTGGTCCTATAAGTTTATTTGTATGATCTGAATTCCCAGGTGTGTAGTAGAGCTGACAAGGGGCAAAGTTGTAGTCACTTCTTGGTCACAGCCAGCTACCCAGAGGGAGCAAGTAGTTGAACCTGTGGGGTTGGGACCATAGTTGCAGAGGACATCAAGCTCAATTGGCATAACGTACTACAAAAAACATTGTTCCACCTCCTACTTTGGAGAGTAGTGACTGGGATCTTGAAAGCTTGCAAGCAGCCATCTAGATGCAATGATGGGTCTCTCCTTGTCTAGAGCAAAGAAGAACGAAGAAAACCAACGATTCATGGAAACAATTAGTCCTAGCAACTGGTACACCATGGGATTCTCAGCCTATATGACTATGAGACCAGAAGAACTAGATGGTTTCTGGCTACCACTGTCAACCACTCGGAGTGGGATCTATGTAGGAGATCCTAGTTAGAGAGGAAGAACAATGTGGAACAAAACTTAAAATCATTTGGTTAAAAAAAAGGGGGGAGGACCAGGTTTCCTTGTCTGATAGAGCCTGGTGGAACCACTGAGACTATGGCCCCTAGCTGCCCTTCAGGTCTGGAATTGAACCCACACCTGTGGCTTCCAGCCAAACAGAAGACAGGCATATGAGTTGAACATTTACCTGAGATAGATATACACTCCTTGGAGAGAACAATCATGGGAGAAAGGGCTGTTTAGGCACAAGGAGACAGCTCAGGGGCCAGGAGTGCATGGAGGGATGGACACAGGGAAGAGGTTGCTATGGGGAGGAAGTGGGAGGGGAGCTCTTGCATGGTGGTAAATTGTAGTCAATGTCATGAGACAAAGTGTATGTGAACTGCTGTATGGAAAGGGAACTTGTTCTGTAAATTTTCACCCAAATCACAATTTAAAAAAAAAAATGCTGATACATTACTACAACATGGATGCTAAGAAGCCAGTCACCAAAGATCCCATATAGAATTATTTCATTTATATTAAATGTTTAGAATAGGCAAATCCATAGAGACAGATTAGTGGTTGTCCAAGGCTGGAGTGACTGGGGAGAAATGACTGCTAACAGGTATGAGTTTCTGGTTGGAGTGATAAAAAAATGTTCCAAAATTGATTGTTGTGATGGTTGCACAACCACTGACTTTCTTTTCTTTTTAAAACTAATAATAATGATAAACCAAACCAAACCCACTGCCATCGAATTGGATCCAACTCAGCAACCCCTCCTTGGGTTTCCCAGGTGCTCTCACTAGGGAAGTAGATTGCCCAACCTTCCTTCCGAGGAGTGGCTGGTGGGTTTGAACCACCAGCCTTCTGGTTAATAATAATAATAGAATTGAAAATATTTAATTTGGTCATCTCATGGATGCTCACTCCATCCACCTGTCTACGGATCTAAATTTGTAGCTAACCGTAATCAGGAGTTAAACCTTCGAAATGGTTGCGAACTTGGGTACTAGCAATACATTGAACTCAATCATCTGATGCAAAAAGAAAAAAAAGGTGAATTCTTGTTTGCTGCCTGCAAAGGAGAACTGTACTTTTAAGGCTTCTCAATGAAGCCAGAGAGCATGGCTCATCTAAGGTTTTGGGAAGCGTTCAGGACTTTCAGACAGCTGACATAACAGACATGACAGATCGCTGGGTCACTGGCATAGGCGTCTGTGGAAGCCTGGTCCCTCGAGTGAGGCATGTGCTGATTGGCTGTTGTCTAGATGCTTGGGGCTGTCACTGATTGGCTGATTTTCAGAAGCTTGTAGCTGTAATTGATTTACTAACTTTCAGAAGCCCCGTTACTGGAGTGAAACTGTTGTTCACTGGCTGGTTTTCAGAAGCAAGCCACTGGAGTGAGCCTGTAGCTGATTGGCTGATTTTCAGAGTGTGTGTGCTGATCTAAGTTATCTCTAATAGCGGTTACTTGTTCAAGACTTGGGATTTTAAGGGGAGGAAGGGGAATCCTTATGGGAATTCATATTTCCTAATATGAAAACTAAGTATTTTAAAGTATTTTAAATTCCTATTCCTTTCCTTCTCGGAATGAAGATTGGGCAATCTACTTCTGTAGTGATACCACCTCAGAAACCCAAGAAGGGGTCGCTATGAGTCAGATCCGACTCCAGGGCAGTGAGTTTGGTTTTTTGTTGTTGCTCTCTATTCCTTTCCTTTGGTCTTTCCTCAGCTAAATCTGAAGGAGACATAAGGTTGTCGAGATCTTTATTTATAGAGGTAAAGTTTTCATCTAACGTTCCCGTTTAAGTAATTTGAGCGTCAGTTTCTAATAATGGCGGAAAAATAGCTTTAACTAGTGATTTATTGACAAAAGACACCCTGACAAAGTCAACAGAGGACGCAGGGAAAATCATTAAATGCGCCTGGCAATCCTATCAATGAAATATATTCGTTCTATAGAAGAAAAGACTGAGGCTTAGTGGAATTAAATTTCTTGTGCAAGGTCCCACCGTCACAAATGGATCTTGCCAGGATTTGAACCGTAAAAGCCTCCGGGACCCTGCGAACATGTAACGCCCATGCCATGAGCACGGGTGGGCGCACACTGCCAACCCAAGAAAATCTAGAAATCAGCTAGATTTTCGAAGAGGATGCGCAATTGATTAGCAGAGGCGGAGACAGCAGCTAGGTACTCTCCAGAAAAACCTTAGGAGGCAAGCCGGGTACCAGAGAAATGCTCACCACCCGAGGCTCCTCCGGAGGCCAAAGGCGGATGAGTGGGCGGGGCTTGCGCGAGGCCACGCCCCCGGGTGCGTCCTTGTGCAAGGCTGAGGGGCGCCGCAGAGAGTCCCCCATCATGATGCGGAATCTGCCAGCGGGGCAAAGCAGCTGTGGTGCAACTCTCCCGTTCTACACCCGCGGTCCCAACGCCTGGCCCCGCAGCCTAGCAGCGTAAGGAAGGCGCGGCCGTGCCAACCGCAGCCAGACCTGACGCC